TGGGACTCGGGAGGCAGAGAATAGATGGGGGCGGAGCCAGTCAGAGGTGGTATTTACCAGTTCTCTGAACTACTCAAAATTTCTGCTACCGGTTCTCCAGAACTGGTCAGAACCTGCTGAATACCACCTCTGAAATAGATAGATGAATGTATTAATTGCACAAATATGCTACTTTAATTGTTGGTTGGGAGTCACCCAGAGTTCAATATAAGATGGATGGCCATATAAATATAACAAACAAACAAACAAACAAACAAACAAACAAACAAACAAACAAACAAACAAAGCTGTATTATAATACTATAAACTTTAGGGTTTCAAGAATAAGTCATATTGAGTAAAGACTCAAAACTTTCCTACAACTCTTAAAAGTGAACTTTTAAAATAAAATGATGCCCAGGAGTCCCACAAAGTTATTTCTCCAGCTGTGCATCCACAGATAAAGTTTTTTTTAAAAAAAATCAGCTGTGATTCTGTAGTTAACCTATAATTATCCCAATCACAGTAATTTATTCTCCCGCCACAAGTATGTTTGTGATTCCTCTCTCTTCCCCAGGATGCCTTTCTGAGAAATATCTGCTAGCTGCTGATATTCAGAACTTGAAAATCTGTTCACGTTCTGAAGGGAGGGTGGGATTAGAGAAGGGAAGACCTACACCTGTTTGAAATATGTAGCTCCTTTCAAATTTGGTGCTGGACTTCATTTTTGATAAAGTAATGCAGATGTGCTCTTTGACAAGGGTTTTTCTTTTACCTCTAATGAGGCACCAACTCTGGCATTAACAACAGAGGTATCTGTGTCCAGCTATAGCAAGTGCTTCTATCATGGGGCGCCAAGTGTTGCTGACTCTGTTTCTACTGGTGTCCCATTTTCCTTGCGGGTTGCTGAAAACCAGATGTCCCTTGAACGTGGTAAGAGAGGAAAAATCGAATTTCTACAAGCCAGGAGATTACCTGATTAGTGGAATCATATCTACAGTCAACACCCTATTTAATCCATACGTTTTTGTCATGCCGCCAAGCAACAGGTTTCGCAGGTAATTCTTGCATGCACTTGGCTCTGGTGATTGATTTTGTTCTCTCCAATGTATTCTTTCACATAGGAAATGATCCGTATTTGCTAATCCCTAGCTTTTCTCAGACAGCTCATTTTTTTCTCTATTTTGATTTAGGAACAAAGTATTTGAATCATGATGCACTTTTAAAGATTTCTGCTTTATTTCTCCCTATCGCTTTCTTTATCTATCTATTTGTCTGTCTGTCTGTCTACCCCTATCTACTTACCCTATGTATCCTTGAGTTTCCTATTTAATTTTGATTGCTTAAAACATTTGTCAAGGAAGACGGAAGCTCAGCAGGTCCCCAGGAATATGTTCTGCTAAAATAGACTAGACTAGACTAGACTAGACTAGACTAGACTAGACTTAGACTTAGACTTAGACTTAGACTTAGACTTAGACTTAGACTTAGACTTAATTAGAATTAGAATTATTAGAATTAGAATAGAATTCTTTATTGGCCAAGTGTGATTGGACACACAAGGAATTTGTCTTTGGAGCATATGCTCTCAGTGTACATAAAGAAAAATAAAATACACTCATCGAGAATAAAAAGATACAACACTTAGTGATAGACAAGGTTATTAATAAGCTATCAAATCGTACTAGGAAATAAGTAAAAATAATATAAATTGAAAGATACAAGCACATGGTTATAGTAATAAGTGGGAAGAGATAGATACTAGTAAGGAAAAGAAGAATATTAGTAACACAGTCTTAGTAAATAGTTTGAGGGAATTATTTGTTAGCAGAGTGATGGCATTCGGGAAAAAACTGTCCTTATGTCTAATTGTTCTGTTGTGCAGTGCCCTATAGCATTGTTTTGAGGGTAGAAGTTGAAACGATTTATGTCCAGGATGTGAGGGGTCTGTAGATATTTTCACAGTCCTCTTTTTGATTCATGCAGTATACAGGTCCTTAATGGAAGGCAGGCTGGTAGCAATTGTTTTTTCTGCAGTTCTAATTATCCTCTGAAGTCTGTGTTTGTCTTGTGGATGATTAAGAAATATGAAGTATAAATTGAATGAATGAATGGATGGATGGATGGATGAATGAATGAATGATAGAGCCACTCCCTTCAGATTTGGAAGAAAATGATATTGAATTGAATGCAGGTTCTTGCCAAGAAAAGAGCATTTTATCATAGAAGCAGAATAATGTACAGAAGAAGCTTCTGGTGCTCTAGAGCTGACAATTATAATGCAATAAGGCAGTGCTACCAGGCAACAAAGCATTCTGCGACTTTTGGTGTGCTTTATTGACACTCAACTCCAATCAGTTTGACTATTTAAGGCTGTGAAAAAGGAATACAATGGCAAACACAAGCCTATTTGGCATGATGATTCCTACAGCTAGCTATCCATGAAAAAAGGACGAATGTAACTGGAAGAATTCATGCAGCCTCAAAGAAATCTGTTTAGATATGTGGGAACGGTTGGTCGTAGCAACATTAATTTGAAACACAGGTAAATGGCATTTATTAAGAAAATTGTCCATTTGGATATTATCCCTTTTGCCTTTAACATAAATGTGTTCATTTTGCTGGGAAAGTTCTTTTTCATATTCTCTTCCTAACTCATAATTTAGAGGAAAAATCAGCTTTGGGGCTTTCTATGAGGATCATTGTGCTTGACATAAAGAACATTCCTTTCTCAATGGGAAGGAGCCCTATTGATGTCAAGAAGATTCTACTTGTAACAGAGCCATTCCGAGAAGTCTACACATGGAAGAGTCTTGTAAATTAATAATGTAGAATGCTGGGTTTTTTTGTAACAGAACAAGCAATCATTGACTGAAAACAGTTTCTTATACAGCAGTGTAGCAAGGGAGAATACTGGTACTGTCCCAAAGGTGGGTTTCAGCAGCTTCTGACCAGTTCTGGAGAACCCGTAGTGGAAATTTTGAGTAGTTTGGAGAAGCGGTAAATACCACCCCTGACTGGCCCGGCCCCCATCTATTCTCTGCCTCCCGAGTCCCAGCTGATTGGGAGGGAATGGAGATTTTACAGTATCCTTCCCCTGCCATGCCCACCAAGCCACACCACGCCCACCAAGCCACACCCACAGAATCAATAGTAAAAATTTTTGAAATCCATCACTGTACTGTCCTATCCTTCTTTGCCATAACCATTCACTGAAGTTTTAGGCTGTGATTTCTTAGGTTCCCAGGGTAGAGTTCTCAGATTGAAATCCAGTTGAATATTTGAAAGTGTCCTAAGGGACAACCTGCAGAAAAGATCACACTGATATCTCTTATATTGCAGTATGCCACGTGCAAGTTACTGGCATGTCTTGCCCTTCTTCTTTGCCATTCATGAAATCAACCACAATCCAAGACTCTTACCCAATGTCACTCTGGGCTACAACATCTACGAGAATTATTTGAATGAAAGAATAACCCATGAAGCCATGATAGATTTACTCTCCATGGGTCAAAAGACTGTCCCAAACTACAGGTGTGGAAGGCAAAAAGGTTTGTTGGCTGTTCTGGAAGAAACAGATTCTGAGCTCTTTCATTATGTTGCAGCTATGTTGGGCACCTACAAGATCCCACAGGTATGAATATAAGTTGAAGCTAAGTCCACTTTGCAAATTTTCCAAATGCATTCAGAAGCAGCTCTTGGTGGTATATCACCAAGTAAATCTAGAGGCAATTGTCAGATTTTAAATGCTTAAAAGACTTTTGCAATTTTAAATTTTTATTAATTTATCAAAACATAAAATACAATGAAAAAGACAATAATGGGAAAATAAGGGAGAAAAAAGGGAAGAGGAAAAATATAGGGGAAAAAGAGATGCTGAGGGAGTAGGGAACGGGTCTTGATCCCGGTTGCAATGGGGAATGGCCGCAGAGGGAAGAACGGAGGGCCTTGTCGGAATTTGGGAGCACGCCCCCGCTATCTTCAAGTGATGGCCTGCTCCGGCCCTCCAGTTTCCGCCTGCCTTCCTGGGGTTCTGCGAGAGAGGTCCCCTGGACTTAGGCTGGTTTATTTTAATGCCAGATCCATAGTTAACAAAGCTCTCCTCATCAGGGAACTGATTGAGGAGGAAAATGGGGACCTGGCTTGCATTATGAAGACCTGGCTGGTCACGGAGGGTTTCCGGGTGCTACACCAGCTGAGGGCCCAGGGGAGGGGTGGGGGGTGGCAGTGGTTATCAGGGAGACCCATGGTCCACGGGAGGTCACTGCTCCTCAGATAGATGGGTGTGAATCTCTCCTCATGAGATGGGGTCCACAAGGTCAGTGGGGTCTGTTGATTACATACCTATCTCCCAGCTACGTATCATCAGCCCTGCCCATGGCTGCTGGACGCCCTATCGGGGTTGGTGGTGGTGTTCCCCAGACTTATTGTTCTGGGGGACTTTAACCTACCGTCCCTGGGTGGGGCATCGGGAGCAGCCTGGTAGTTCATGGCTTCCATGGCAGCCATGGACCTGACTCAAATAATTCAGGGCCCGACTCATGTGAGGGGACACATGCCCGATCTGGTTTTTATCTCGGAACAGAGGCACAGTGAGTTCGGTGGGGGTATGCCAGTTATCTACCCCCTGTCATGGACCGATCACTATCTCCTTTGGCTGGGCTTCCATTATGCCACCCCCCGCCACCGGGAGTCGGAACCGACCATCTGGTTCTGCCCCAGGCACCTGATGGACCCCGAGCGGTTCCAGACGGAGCTTGGGGATATCCCTGTCTCGCTTTCCCACGCCCCGGTTGAGACCCTGGTGGATGCCTGGGAAAAGGCAGCTGCTGGGGCTCTTGACTGGGTCGTGCCTTTGCGGCCTCTGACCCAACATAGATCCTGGTTTGGCTCCTTGGTTTACGGAGGAGCTCCGGGAGATGAAACACTGGAAGAGAGGCCTTGAGAGCTGTTGGAGGTCCAGCTGTTCTGAGACTGACTGAGCCCAGGTGAGATCCCTTTCACGGTCTTCTCTGGTGGCAATGGAGGCAGAGAAGCGCTCTTACTTTGCTGCCCTCATTGCGTCTGCAGATAATCGCCTGGCCGCCCTGTTTAGGGTCTCCCGCTCTCTTTTGAATCGGAGGGAGGGGGAGGACCCTACGCAGGGATGGGCCAAGGAGTATAGTCAATATCTGACGGATAAGATCACTCAGATTCGGGACGGGCTGGACTCCGATTGTGCGGGGTCGATCGGAGAGGTGGCGACAGGTCTGGTTGTTTGGGACAAGTTCGATCCTGTTACTCCCAAGGAAGTGGACAGGATCATGGGGAAGCTGAGCACTACCACGTGTTTGTTGGACCCGTGTACCTCCTGGCTTGTTTATTCGGCCAGGGAGGTTACACATAGATGGATCCAGGCAGTGGTCACTGCGTCATTGGCTGAGGGGAGTTTCCCCGCTGCTTTGAAGGAGGCGGTGGTGAGGCCCCTCTTCAAGAAGCCCACCTTGGATCCAGTTATTTTAAACAATTTTCATCCTGTCTCCAACCTTCTCTTTATTGCGAAGGTTGTTGAGAGCATGGTGGCACGTCAGCTCCCACTGGTCCTGGATGAAGCATCATAACTAGACCCGTACCAGTCGGGCTTCAGGCCTGGGTACAGCACGGAGACGGCATTGGTCGCACTGGTGGATGATCTCTGGATCCAACCACCCATCCACCCACCCATCCACCCATCTCTAGGGACAGAGGATATTCCTCTGCCCTGGTCCTGTTAGATCTCTCAGTGGCTTTTGATACCATCAATCATGGTATCTTGCTGCGGCACCTCGAGGGGTTGGGAGTGGGAGGCACTGTTTTATGGTGGTTTTCCTCCTACCTCTCTGGACGCTCACAAGTGGTGTTGGTGGGGGGGGGCAGAGGTTAACCCCGAGGCCCCTCACATGTGGGGTTCCCCAGGGGTCAGTTCTCTCTCCCCTGCTGTTTAACATCTATATGAAGCCGTGGGGGTGGGGTGGTTTTGGGGTGGGGTATCATCAGTATGCTGATGATACCCCACTTTTTATATCCACCCCGAATCAGCCCAGTGATGCCTCGACGTGATGTCCCGATGCCTGGAGGTGGTGCGGCTCTGGATGGGGAGGAACAGGCTCCAACTCAACCCTGCCAAGACGGGCTGGCTGTGGGTACCGGCATCTTGGTTCCAAGGGAATATTCCATCTTTGGTCATAGGGGGAGAGGTGTTGCCCCCTGTGGATAGGGCGCACAATTTAGGCATCCTCCTGGATGCACGGCTGACCTTAGAAGACCATGTCACGACCGTGACCAGGGGGGCATTTGCCCAGATTCATCTGGTGCACCAGTTGCACTCCTACTTGGACTGAGATGCCTTATGCACGGTCACCCATGCACTCGTCACCTCCTGGATCGACTATTACAACACTCTCTACATGGGGCTACCCTTGAAAACCACTCAGAGGCTTCAGCTGGTGCAGAATGCAGCCGTGCGTGTAGTGATGGGAGTGTCCCGATGCTCCCATGTCACACCCCATGTCACGCCGGTTGCCCTCCGGGTGAGGTTCAAGGTGTTGGTGATTACCTATAAAGCCCTACATGGCTTAGGCCCGGGATATTTGGCAGATCACCTGCAGCCAGCAACAGCTCCCCATCGCCCGGTGCGCTCACACGAGAGGGCCTACTTGGGGTTCCGTCGGCCAAGCAATGTCGGCTGATGACCCCAGAGAGCGAGCCTTCTCTGTAGGAGCACCTACCCTCTGGAATCAGCTCCCCTTGGAGCTCCGGGTGGCCCCCGACCTTCGCTCTTTCTGCCATGACCTTAAAACATGGTTGTTTCACCAGGCTGGCCTGGACTGAAGGGGTTTTAATGGGAATTTTAGATTCTTTTTATTGTTTGAATTTTAATTTGGACTTCTTGTTGCTTATTGCTGTGAGCCGCCCTGAGTCCTTGTGGAGAAAGGGTGGCATATAAGTCCGATAAATAAAAAGAAAGAAAAGAATCAACTTCCAATTCTTTTTAGCATGATTGAATAAGAGATATACAGCCTTAACTTTTTTGCTTTTACATAGTAATATATACTAATCATTTCTTTAACAACTAGTCATTTCTTTAACATCTAACCAGCAAAACCCAACATTTAATTTTTTCCACTTCAAGCACAAAGTCCAGAAGTGGTTTCCAAATGGAAATAAAGTTAGCTGTATTTTTTTTTCTTTAATTAAAGCAGTCAATTTAGCCATCTCTGCTAATTCCATCAAACTGGTTAAAAGCCTTGTAAGCATTTTTTTCCCATAATGTTCTTACATTTTACTTTTCATCTGATTGGCACTTGTGCATGGTGTAGTTTTAAAACAATACCAAAATAAATAGAAACTGGATGTAAGGAAAGGAAGATGCTTGGAAGATAGCAAAAAAAATTACATCATAGAGTGCTCCAGAAGTAAGACAAAAGTGAAATGTGAAAAAGGATGCTTCGTAAAATGATGAAGTGAAAAAGGAAAGAGATGAAAAAATACAGATAACAGCAGGAGGGAAATGCTAGCGGTTCGCTCCAGTTTGAGCGAACCAGTAGTGATAAAAACTACTGGTTCAGGCGAACCGGTAGTTAAAAAAAGTTACCGGTTCTTCCGAACTGGTATTTCCAATGATCAGCTGTGCAGTGGAGTTTAGCTTTGCTAGAAAGCAGGAAATCCTGCTTTCTACCAAAGCTAAATTGTACGCCACAGCTGATACCCCCCTTGCTGTTCTACTTACCTTCCCAAACCTCCTTTTGGCGTGCACTGCGCATGAGCACACAGTGCTCATTTTGTGCACAGCACACATGCAAGGCCTACAAACCAGTAGCAAACCAGTTTGGATTTCACCACTGGATAAGAGAATATTGTTACAAAAAGTGATAAAAGTTGTGCATTTGGTACATTGTCATAAAGAAAGAATGAGTCAGAATCAAACTGTGAAAGAAATATTGAAGGAAGGATGAAGGAAGGGTTGAAAGGAATAGGAAGACCAAGATAATTGGACCTTGGTTGGATGAGCTGAAGTCACATGGAAAAGAAATACAGTAAGTGAAATGTTTAAAGAACAAAAGGCAAGATATGGAGAGATTTATGAATTTATGGAAAGAAGGATGGTTTCCAAGGGTAGCAAATAGAGATAGATGTAATGAGTGGAATTGGTGTGACCTACATTTTATTAGGTTCCCCTTTTTAATGTAGTTTCTTCAGGTTTTTTTTAAAAATATTACAAATTATTACCCTTTTTCATTGCTTTTCATAATGAAGCTTATCTAGAAAAAGAATAGCGTAATCAGCATGTATGCATGTGTACCAGGGGTGAAATTTAGCAAGTTCTGACAGGTTCTGGAGAACCGGTAGCAGAAATTTTGAATAGTTCGGAGAACCAATAGCAGAAATTTTGAGTAGTTCGGAGAACCGGCAAATACCATCTCTGGCTGGCCCCAAAGTGGAGTGGGAAGGGAGATTTTGCAATATCCTTTCCCCAGGAGTAGGGTGGAAATGGAGATTTTACAGTATCCTTCCCTTGGAGTGTGGTGGGAATGGAGATTTTGCAGTATCCTTCCCCTGCCATGCCCACCAAGCCACGCCCACAGAACCAGTAGTAAAAAAATTTGGATTTCACCACTGATGTGTACATTTATGTAAGTATGTATTGTGAACCCAAAGCTGCCCTCCTGCTTTCTTGTTACTGAACTGGATTTGGCCTAACAACATAAATGCTCTCCATCCTTGATGGCTGAAAAATAGAATGGCACAAAATTTGCATCCCCTTTTCCTCTGTGGTTTTCCCACTTGACTTCCTTCCAGGACAATGGCTGACAAATAGTATCTTTCATCTACCCCCCCCATCTACAACAGCTGAAGGTGTGTAATAGTGTAAAAAAGAGGAAGAAGTTCAATTTTAAGAAAGACTAGGAAGGAAGGAAGGGAGGGAGGGAGGGAGGGAGGGAGGGAGGAAGGAAGATCAACTAACTTTTCTATTTCATCTTAGATCAACTATGGGGTCATTAGTCACATTTCTGAGCATAAGTATCATTTTCCTTTCTCTTACCGGATGGGTCCAAGACAAGAACCTCCTCACTTGGTGATTGTCAAGCTACTCCTGCATTTCCAATGGACCTGGGTCTGCCTCCTTGCACCAGACAACGAAAACGGGGAAAAGTTCAGAAAGACATTTGTGCCTGTAGCCCTCAAGCAAGGAGTTTGTGTTGCCTTCTCAGAAAGCCTCCCAGTGCTGAATTTTGACAGGAAAAAAGACCTGCTTTCATACTTGAAAAAGAGTAAAGTAAATGCAATTGTTTCTCAATTGGACATGAGCACTGTAACGACACTAGGGCTAATAATCAAAATCATGGACAGGAGAGAAAAATTAGCCGTTGGGAAAGTGTGGATTATAACAGCCTTGTCAGATCTAAATGTGAGATGGCTATACAGGCTCATTGATCTCCAGCACAAGCATGCCTTTTTGTCATTCGTAATCAAGACAAAGACAAGAATGTCATACGATCGTGCTCTTTCTGACTTCTTTGTTTTTGAGATGTTTGCACAGTCAGCCTTTCAGTGTTCCTATTCAAGCTCTGTGCTGTCAAAGAAGGTTTGGGAAAGATGCACGGAAAAAGAGAAGTGGGGAATCCTACCCCCTGACTTAGTTGCAAAAATCTTGTCTGAGGATGCCTACAGCATTCGCAATGCAATTCAAGCTGTGTCTTGGACTCTCAGTGCTGCCTATACGTCTCAACTAGGCCAGAAGAGAAGGCAGGTTGGACACCGTCCAGCACCCCAGCCGTGGCAGGTAGGATTTCACCTCCCTTCAAATTCCACTGATGGTCCTCCTTCAATTCTTCAGTTCTCCACTGGTGGTGAGCTGGAAAAATGGGAAGAAGTATCTCAGATGAGATTTTCCCATCTCTAGTGTTTGTTCTGATGAGGTGTGAGGGCTTAAAGAGAAGGAGAGATTCATTGCTTCTCAAATTATGGAACCAAAGGTGGAATTCAGCAGGTTTGGGCAAACCAGTAGCACCGACGATCAGTTGGCCCCGTCCCCTGCCCCCACTCTAGCCTGTCCTTTATTTCCTGCTTCGTAGCTCATCTCAATCACACAACACAGCTGATTCCCCACCCCTTGCTGTTCTACTTACTGTTGCTGACCTGGAAGGTAAGCAGCTGAGCTTCTAAATGCTCCATTGTCAGTGCTGCGTGCAAGCACCTTAGGCGCATGCCCGTTCACTGAACCAGTTGTTAAACTGGCAGCATTCCACCACTGTATGGAACTATTTGTGTGGGTCGATTGTGTGGGTTGGGTGTAGTAACAATGAAGAGGGATGCCTCTATGGAAAGGAAGTTTTGTTTTCCATTTAAGATTAAATAAGGACCAGAATGACACAGCAACCCTCATGTTGTTCCTTTGTCACTTAACCTCATCTTTTTTGTCTGCAACCCAGAGACTTAATTATATCTTTGTATTTTGGAGTAAGTTTTTTCCCCTCTGAATAAAGTTCCTGCCAAAGCAGTACATCTTTCCAGCCTTTTGAGGGGCTGAAACATCAAGTAAACTCTTTATCACTGAGGCCAGAACTGTAGATATATATCCAAAGACATATAGTACCCACCATCAACATTTTAAGACCAGATCCCAGATTCCTTCCCTTTCTCTCTCTCTGTTTTTCAAAAACCAAATATTTGAAAATTTCATTTACATAAACTCAATCACTTCTCCCAATCCACTTGCCTTTCTTTTATTTATTTATACCTTTTCTGTAGCTATCTATCTCAGCCAAGGGACTCTGGGTGAGTGACTTACGATTCTAAAACTATAAAACAATTATAAAGGAGCTGTGGTGGTGCAGTGATTAAACTATAGTATTGCAGACAAATTGACTACAGCCTGAAGTTCGATCCTGACTGGCTCAAGTTGACTCAGATGTCCATCTTTCCAAGGTCAATAAAATGAGGATCCAAATTGTTGGGGGGCAATATGCTGATATTGTAAGCTGTTCAGAAAATACTGTAAAGTACTATGGCACAGTATATAAGTCTAAGTCAAGGGTGTCAAACTTGATTTCATTGAGGGCCGCATCAGGGTCGTGTTTGACCTTGGGGGCTGGGATGGACATGGCCAGGTTAGGTGCAGCCATGGTGGGCATGGCCAGCTCAACATCACTTATGTCGGGGGCACCTGTGGTGGCCAAGTGGTAAGGCAGCACTTCCCTCCACCCTCCCTCACTCTCATTATAATCTCCCTCCCTCCCTCCCTTCCTTCCTTCTTCCCTCCCTCCCTTTTCTTCTTTTTTCTTCCCTCTTCATTTTCCTTTCTTCTTCCTTCCCCTCTTTCCTTATTTTTCCTTCTTTGCTCTCTTCCCATCTTTCCTTCTTTTTCTTTTTCTTTTCCTTTCCTCTTTCCCTTTCTCCTTTCCTATCCCTTCTTGCATGCTGAAATGCAAAAAGGGAAACATTTCTCCTTTTGTTTTGTTTTTAATTTGTTTTGCTAGCTCCGTTTTCGCTGGCAGAGGGTTGCAGGAGGCTGTTACAGCTGAAAACGGAGCTTGGGGGGCCCGTTTTCACTGGCAGAGCACTCAGGCCATCACAGGCACCCCCGACACAAGTGATGTCAAGCTGGCCATGCCCCCTTGCCCCCTGCCCCCCGAGGTCAAACACAACCCTGATGCGGCCCTCAATGAAATTGAGTGTGACATCCCTGCTCTAGGAATTCAAATTCTCATGGGCAACTAAACTTATCAGTGACAAAAGGTGATCCATTCAAGTATTTCACAAGGCATATTTACTGGTTTGATTTATTTATTGGTTTGATTTATTTGCCGCCCTTCTCCGGAGACTCAGGGCGGCTTACAATGCGTTAAGCAATAGCCTTCATACTTTTGTATATACCTGCTTAGTAGGGCTTTTGGCCCCCCCTAAGTGGTGTTCTTTTTTATACAAAGTCAGTTTATTGCCCCCACAATCCGGGTCCTCATTTTACCTACCTCGGAAGGATGGAAGGCTCAGTCAACCTTGAGCCTGGTGAGATTCGAACTTGCAGTAATTGCAGACAGCTGGCAACTAAGTGCTACTTTAACAGCGCTTTAGTCCATTGCTCCACCAAGGCTCCTATCTAGACAAGAGCTAGCTTTTCTTGGGGAAGAAAGGAGACACATTCCCTTGAGTTGCTTTCCAGACAGAAGCACCGAGCTGAAGAAAATGAGTTATTCGGACCATCCTAAAGGTGCTTTTTCAAGAGACAACTGGACTTTCTTGTTTTTCTTTGACGACATTTTGCTTTTCATCTCAGATGCTTCTTCAACTCTGACTGGACAGTAAAGAAGCTTCTTGGATGAGAAGCGAAACGTCTTCAAAAAAAAATAAAAATAAATAAGGAGGTCCATGTTGCCTCTTGAAAAAGCACCTTTGGGACAGCCATGACCTGGAGGACTGAGAATCTCCATAGACATATTCAGACCATCCCAATCCATAATAATACAGGTAGTCATCAGCTTAGGACCAGAACTAAGTGCAAAATTCCTGTTACTAAGCAAGACATTGAAATGAGTTATGCTCCATTTTATGTCTTTTTACCAGAATTGTTAAATGAATCTGGCTTCTTCCATTGACTTTGCTTGCCAGAAGCGAGCTGGGAAGGTTACAAGTGGTGATGACATGAACCTGGGACAGTGCCACCGTCACAGGTTCATGCCAGTCGCCAAGAGCCCAAATTTTGACCACGTGTGACCATGGGGATGCTGCAATAGTCGAAAGTCTGAATATCAGTTCTGTCAACTTGCCGCTGCGCTGGAACGAACGAGAAGAAAACGCCACAGACAGCAGTTGGTTGCTTCAGCAGTTTAATCTGTTCGGCCAGCTCGGGAAACAGCAAATGATACAAAATGCAATCAGCACAAAGTCGGCGTTAGGAGCAGTTGCCTCCTTACGCCTTTTAAACACTCGCGCCAGCCGCTATAACGCCCTTCCGGGTACGGTGCTAATGGCGCATGCGCGCAGCATCTCCTCCGCAGCCGAGCGCCTGGAAGGTATCTGAAGAGGATCCACCCTATGCCGGCCGCTGCGTGACCGACTGCCTAGAAGAAAGACACCCCCACCACCAAGGTGCTTGTGAGTCACCAATCACCCCTCATCCACCCCCCATCAGGTCCTTCATTGGTGTTGGATGTCAGCCAGGGATTCATGTGTGCCGCTGCGGATCATAGTGTCGAGGGGATCTCGACAAGTCATATATCAGTTTTTCAGTGCCATTGTACCTTTGAATGGACACTAAACTAATGACTGTAAGTCAAGGATTGCCTATAGTTGTGAAAACAGTAGATCAAGGTTCAGATCAGAATGTGTAAGTTACAGATCTGATCTCCTATGTCATTACAGCTTCATCCGTTCCTGAAAAACATCCAGGTTTCCAATTTTAGTGCGGATGGAGGTAATTTGGAGAAGGATGGAGATCCTGCTGCTGGCTTTGATATCATCCAGTGGGCAGTGTATCCCAACAAATCTACTTCTGGGGTGAAAGTTGGAAGTGTAGAAAATGAGGCCGCCTCAGAAGTCAAGATCTCCGTTGATCAAAGTGCCATTATGTGGCCAACTTCATTTAATAAGGTACTTGATGCTGCTTTGTTTGGTTCTTATTATTTAGCTGTACATCTTGTGCACATCTGTTTAAAAAATAAATCCCACTGAATTCAGTGGGGATTAGCTGTCCTTAATGCATTTTAAAGTTTCATTAATTCATTAGACATTCCGTAGAATTACAGGTTCTTAGATACTAGGAATAATACATCAGCTGTGAAATCTATGTAAGCTAAGACAGGAAGCTTACAATAAAGTTGTGAAGGGTTGCCTCTTGTTACACCAAACACACAGAAAGGTATTCATAGTGTTCTAGTTTAGGAACACTAGTATGGAAGCATTTTTACTTTGTCAATTATATAGGGTTTCCTGCCTGAGCAGGGGTTGGACCAAAAGACCTCCAAGGTCCCTTCCAACTCTGTTATTCTATTCTATTCTGTTCTGTTCTATTCTATTCTATTCTATTCTGTTCTGTTCTATTCTATTCTATTCTATTCTATTCTATTCTATTCTATTCTATTCTGTTCTGTTCTACCCTACCCTACCCTACCCTACCCTACCCTACCCTACCCTACCCTACCCTACTCTACTCTACTCTACTCTACTCTACTCTACTCTACTCTACTCTACTCTACTCTACTCTACTCTATTCTATTCTATTCTATTCTATTCTATTTCGTAATTATTCATCAAGCAAAACAAATATCTCTATATTATATTTTCTTGATTTATTCTCAGAGATTTGGCTTTCAGACCTATTTGGTGCATTTAAGGAAGAGAGGGGGAGGGAAAGAGGGAGGGAGAGAGAGGAGAGGTGGGAAAGGGGGAGAGGGAGAGCCAGTTTGGTGTACGCTAATAAATGGAAGACCATGAATTCCAGCCCTATTTGGGCACAAAGCCAATTGAGTGACCTTGGGTCAATCGATCTCTCTCAGTCCTAGAAAGGAGGGGAGGGCAAACCACTTCCGAAACCTTATCAAGAAAATGTCAGGGATTTTTCCAGGCTGACTCTGAGAATTGTGCACAGCTTGATGAACCGTCATTCTCTCTTTTATTTTAAGAGGACTATGGGGGGGGGGAATCCTGCTGGAGTGGAACTCCTTCTGGAGATCTTTCAGAAAAGGAGTATGATGTTGAAATGAGTTTCTGAAAAAAAGAAAACATTCACATTAAACTTGGAAATAAATGAAATATATTCTTGAGTTTTGTGATAGAGACCTAACTGGCATATAGGATCAAGAGGTTTGGAAGTATAGATTCTTTACCACTTTTGGATTAAGAAGCAGTCAAGAATGAGCTGGAATAGTTTCTTCTTTGCTCCACCCCAAATCCTGCTGTCACAAAGGATCCTAGGATCCCAGGCGGTAAACTCATCAGTGACTAGGTCTTCAATTATTTTATCGTGAGTTCAGTTTAGCCCAGGGTGGGAACCCACTCTGCGATTCATTGCCATTCATAAAAATAATCCTCTAATTCACTCTTCCTTTTACATTCAGAAAGTTCCTTTGTCTAGATGTACTGAAAGTTGTCATCCAGGATACACGAAGCTCACCAGAGAGGGTGCGCCAATCTGCTGCTATGACTGTTCTCATTGTGTGGAAGGAACAATTTCCATGCAAGAAGGTAGGTGGAATTTAATTTAATTTAATTTAATTTAATTTAATTTAATTTAATTTAATTTAATTTAATTTAATTTAATTTAATTTAATTTAATTTAATTTAATTTAATTTAATTTAATTTAATTTAATTTAATTTAATTTAATTATTTAATTTAATTTAATTTAATTTAATTTAATTTAATTTAATTTAATTATTTAATTTAATTTAATTTAATTTTTTCTGAGGTTGCCTAGAACCTTCAGAAATTTTGAGCTCAATTTTGGTAATAAATCAAAGACTAACTGGCTGTCCAGATACAGAAAAGTTTAACCATGTCATTATCTTCTGAAGAAGTTTACCTATCTACATCTTGCTAACCTACTTCCTCAAATGCCTTCCCTAAGACAAAATATTGACCATCACTGGGCTACTATCTACTCTGCTTTCCAGAGACCTATCAAAATATCATTGAAAGACTGTTCTGATCATCCCTTTTGAACTGTTTGTGGATGATGCTGGAATTTCCTGTATGCAAAACATGGTCTATGACACCAGTCTTGTAAGGATCCCTGATAGATCAAATCAAAATCTCCCCTGGGCAAACATACTGGTTTCCACACTGGACAGCTAAGATTCAGAAACAATGATCAAATTATATATATATATTTTCTGGCATATCAAATGCACCACTCTGCATTTGAATCTGGAAGTTCTATAGAATCTGCTCACTATGACACGCTGCTCTTTGTTTTATTTCACAGCAACATTCAATTCTAATCAAGCACAATTAAATGTTGCTTGTATCTATTCCCTTCAAAATGTTCTCCTTTCAAAACAGGTTTATCTAATAGGGATGAGACTGTTGAATGTATATGTGCAGACAATTAGGAGTATAAGGTATCTGCTAATTAATCAAAACATTGCTTCTGCTTTTCAGATGCTGCTCATTGCAAAAAGTGTCCAGATGATCAGCATTCTAATAAGAAGCGAGACCAGTGTGATCCCAAAGTTATAAGTTTCTTATCTTATGAAGAAACCTTAGGTCTAATCCTGGCCATTTCTGCCATTATTTTGTCTCTAACCACTGGCTTTGTTCTATATATTTTTATTAAATTCCGAGAAACTCCCATAGTCAAAGCCAACAACCGGGATCTCACTTATATTCTCCTGGTCTCCCTCCTCATTTCCTTCTTGACTTCCCTCCTGTTTATTGGTCAACCTCAAAAAATAACCTGCCTTCTTCGGCAAACCACTTTTAGTATTGTTTTCTCAGTTGCAGTCTCTTCCTTGTTGGCCAAGACTATAATGGTGGTAGTGGCATTTTTAGCCACAAAGCCAGGCAGCAGGATGAGGAAATGGCTGGGGAAGCATCTGGCCAACTCCATTGTCTTGTCCTGCTCTTGGCTTCAGATAGGAATCTGCATCATATGGCTTGGACTTTCTCCCCCATTCCCAGATGTTGACATGCATTCTCAACCGGGACAGATCCTGTTACAATGTAATGAAGGCTCGGTTACAATGTTCTACTCTGCCCTTGGCTATATGGGCTTTCTTGCTGTCATCTGCTTCTTGGTGGCTTTCCTGGCCCGCAAGCTGCCAGGGTCTTTCAACGAAGCTAAGCTGATCACCTTCAGCATGCTGGTCTTCTGCAGTGTTTGGATCTCCTTTGTCCCCACCTACCTGAGCACCAAAGGGAAGTACATGGTGGCTGTGCAGATCTTCTCCATCCTGTCCTCGAGCCTGGGCTTACTGGGCTGCATCTTTGTCCCCAAATGTTACATCATTATCCTGAAACCTCACATGAACATGAAGGAGCATCTCATGATGAAAAAAAATGAGGGAGGCTGAATGTGATACTTATTATTTATGCAGTGTGCACAATTGAAAATGACAATTGAAAAATGACTTTATTATAGCCATTTAGTTACTTCTACAGTTACATTTGTGTTGTGTTAGTTACATTTGTGATGATAATAAAGAATGAGAGATGCCCTGTCCAGGTGTGAATCTTCATAATAATTCTAGAAAGTCCAGAATTTAATTCAATTTTTTTAAACGATTGGAATAAGGGGAGCAACCAAGTCTCCTACATCTTCTTTCCATGTCCACTGCAATGTCATGTATTCTCCACTTGTTCCTTGATGCTGCTCTTGTTGCCAATCTTCAGTTTCCCCACATCTCTCCCATTCTTCCTCTTTCATGTCAGAAGCACCAAAGTGCTTCTGTGATGAAAGGATTAGCTAGTGGCATTGGCCAGGGGATGCCCAATTGGGGGCTCCTTTCATGTCCCTCTGAAATTGCCCACCAAAGTGGTACCCATTTATCTACTTGGGGTTATCTGGCAGGAGCTGGAGTGTGTGACAGGAGCTCACCCTGCCCTGCTGCAACAACAGATCTTGAACACGAGCCCGCTGATTGTCAGCCCAGCATTCTAACCTTTTGAGCCACCATGCTTCTATATCTCTTTCATGAGCCATTAGATTTCTCAACATTCTCCACATCTGCCTTCCTATCAATTTTCCTATTACCATTCCTATTCCCAATCCTAAGCCTCACTGATATCCTCTTCCTTCTCCCTTTCTGCCCCCAAACTTCCTTATCTCTTCATAGTTTCATAGCCCAGAGTCAAGGTTTCCATTGTTGTTATTATTCATATAGTTATTTTTGTTATAGAGGATAAGCAAGGAAGGAGATGGATTTCAGAAAAAGTGCAATATAAATAGATGGGGATATGTGGGGAGTAATATATATGTTTTTTGAGTGTCTGTATAAATGTATTTGGGTAGAACACAAAGATGTTGGATAAGGGAGACCCATATACAAGTTCCTGCACAACCAAGAGTTTGCTAATTACATTAGGCTTCCCACCATATGGAATATGCTGTTCGTGTGTACCTAATAGTTATAAGGTAGAGGCAAAAGCTACCAATAGTTCACAATTAAAATGATACCTTCTTTTTCCTTCTTGGATGCCTTTGTAGTCAACGACATTACTTCATAGAATTTCAGAGTCAGAAGGGGTCATGGAGATATTATGGAGCTGAACAAATGTGATTGCATCGTGCAGATGCCCAAATCCACATCCCAGATAGTTGCTTAGCATCCAATGTTCCAATGAAAACAAGCCCATAATCCTTCAAGATTCTTGAGTTTGCTCTCTCTTTCTATCTCTCTGTGTGTATATATATATACACACACATACAGACACAAACACAAACACCAATTTTACATGGTCAAATCTGAGTCAGTCACCGGGATCAGAGTTTTAGTCTTCTGAGCTTGTGGACTCATGCTACAACCCATCCTCAGGGAACTATTCTCTCACAAGAATATGTAACACAAGAATGTGATGAGATAGAAGTTCCCTAAGGATGGACTCCAGCACAAGTCGAAAAGCTTGGAAGACTAAAACTCTGATCTTGATGACTGACTTAGATTGGATTCAGGTCATAAGTACTTTTTGGGGAGTCTGTTGTGACTTCAGACAATCACTAAGTGACTGGTCATAAGTCAAAGTCTACCCGTACATCTCTTATTTTAACCTTCATCAAATAAACCCGTTTCCTTTTGTTTCTGGCAATCTTAATTTTTAATTCATTCAAATATTATCTGGGATTTGATCACTTCTTTGTACCAACATCAACGTTTTTACTGCAGCCTGATGTTTTTACTGTAGCCAGCAATTGATCTTATAGATCAATAGATCTTATAGAGAATATAGAGAATATTGATCAAAGAAAATTTGAGCATGCATACATATTAGCAGAACATCTCAAACAGTGAAAGATTTGTTTTCTAACAAGGAAATAAGATAGTTGCACAGGGAGATATGACATCTTTCATGGAATGATTTACTATGCACATATTTCTAGAAACAGAACACCTTTGATCTGTAAGTTCATTAATGCCCCTAATGGTTATTGTAACAGAGTACCCTGTATTTACAGCAGAAACTGATAAGGAGCCTTGGTAATGTAAATCTTGAAGTTCAAAGATGTGAAGTATTTTGTGAATTAGTCAGTTATAACCACAATAAAACTCAATTCTTAATAATGTTAAGCAAATCTATAATTTTATACTGCTTTTGTATGATTAATTATATAAATTGATTTAGTCTGATTTATTTATTCATTGATTATTTTAACCATTCAGGACAGTTTCATAAAATATGTTTATTACACTAGTTTTCATGTTTCATTTACAATTTTAAAAATGCAGGAACAAGTAACTAAGTCTAAGTTACTAATTGTCCAAAAACAGAAGCAAAAATATGAGATGAAAAGTGGTACCAAACCCCATCATCATTAGTAATAGATTGTCATCTAATGTAAAAATTAGACAGAGCAAAGCTGCTGTATGATGCTTTTTCTAAATTGGTTTCAGAAAATAAATTAACATCATTGCTTATTTATGATTAAGGTGGAACATAGATTGTGATAAAATAAAGTAATGTAAATAATTTTCTTGGGCCATTAATTTTATTTATCTTTTTTTTTATTTACACTTTATTGATTTTTTTAAGACAGATAAAATATAATAACAATTTTGTTTGACATCGGATTCGCAGTGTTTATACATATGTACATGAAAAAAATATCTGGTGTCCTTTATACTATACATTTCTAATTAATTTCTGCACCTTTAAACTCCTTCCTTGATTCTATCATTTATCCATTCGTACCATCTTCCCCACACAGTATCGTGATCTGAATTTTCATCATCACTTATTTCGTACGTTAATTTACTTGTCTCTGCACACTCTAATATTTTACTAATTATAAGGTCGTCTGGTGGTAGGTCTTTCTTTTTCCAGTATTGAGCGTATGCCAGTCTGGCAGCTGTAGTTATATGTATTAGGAGGTGGACCTTTTCCTTTCCATGCCCTTTCTTTACCATAATTTTATTTATCATCCTCATTTAAAGCTCACATTGAAGAAAGAGTTCCTTAAAAATGTAAATATGTTTTTTTCTTCCATTTTATCTTATTTTACATTAGCAGTACATTTTACAAATAAAATAAAATAAAATAAATAAAGCACCCACATCAGAAGCCACTTTAGTTTTTCATCATCAGATGTTCCTTCACATTCAGGTCAGGTCTGAGAATAATGATGTAGCATTTTGGAATAAAGATGCAGATTAGCAATCCAAGGCTGGAGGCCAGCATGGAGAAGATCTGCACAGCCATCATGTATTTCCCTTTGGTGCTCAGATACGTGTGGACAAAGGAGACCCAAACACTGCAGAAAACCAACATGCTGAAGGTGATCAGCTTGGCTTCATTGAAAGTCCCTGGCAGTTTGCGAGCTAGGAAAGCCACCAAGAAGCAGATGACAGCCAGAAAGCCCATATAGCCAAGGGCAGAGCCTTCATTGCATTACAAAACGATCTGTCCTGGTTGGGAGTATAGGTCAGAATCTGGGAATGGGGGAGAGATTCCCAACCATATGAAACAGATGCCCACCTGAACACCAGAGCAGGACAAGATGATGGAGTTGGCCAGAGATTTCCCTAGCCATTTTCTTATCCTACTGCTTGGTTTTGTGGCCAGAAATGCCACCACCACCATGATAGCCTTGGCCAGCAAGGATGACATAGCAACTGAGAAAACAACATTGAAGGCAGTTTGTCGAAGAAGGCAGGTCGCTTTCTTGGGTTGACCAATGAAGAGAAGGGAAGTCAAGAAGGAAAGCAGGAGAAAGATCAGCAGAATGTAGGTGAGATCCCGGTTGTTGGCTTTGACTATGGGAGTTTCTCGATATTTAATGAAGATTCCCAGAACAAAAGAAGTCATTATGGATAAAGTAATGCCAAAGAGAGCCAGGATGAGACCCAATATTTCTTTATAAGATAGAAAAGGTATAACTTTTGGGACACATTGATCTCGCTTGTTATTGGAATGCCAGTTATCTGGACATCTTTCGCAATGTGCTGCATCTGAAATCATAAGGAATTTCTCTATATGTAGTGCATCCTGTGGCATTCAACACTTATCATAACCTATTGTGCATAAAAAGCAGTGAGGTGTAGGGAGAACATTAACAATTGACTCTATGCTCCCTGTTTGACACATTGCCTGCTCCGTGCTTATAAAATTGATAGGTTTTGCCTATGCCTATAACCTATCTCCTTTAAGTAAAACTGCTTTGTATTATGCTTACAAAATATTCTTCAGTAGTCATTGCTAAGACCAGATTTCTTCTCTCACTAATACCGATACACATCTCAGATGCAATTATCTTTGGAAATAAAAATAGAATGAAAGGTTAGTAGTATTTGAGGTTCCTTAGCAGAGGTCAGCATCTAACTGACTTGGTTTGGCTTGGGATCTAAGCAGGATCTGGCCTGGTTTATATTTTGTTGGAACTCTTTTTTTGAGCTACCTACCTTCCTGTCTGGAGATGGCCCCTTCAATGCACAGAGAACAATCATAGTAGTAAATTGGTGCACCAATCTCCATTCCCTCTCCACTCCAGGGGAAGGTTACTGCAAAATCCCCATTTCCTCCCTTATCAGCTGGGACTTGGGAGAGAATAGATGGGGGTGGGGCCAGTCAGAATTTTTACTACCAGTTCTCTGAACTACTCAAAATTTCTGCTACTGGTTCTCCAGAACTGGTCAGAACCTGCCGAAACCCACCTCTGATTCAACCCCAGAATGATGCAAGCATTCCCATAGATAGCTGTAGGTCTCTCAAGAGGTTCATGAGATACAAGAAAATCTACTACAGAGAGATGTATGTGACTAGATAAATAATAAACACTCTAAACAAGCAGACTTAGCTACCTGGTTAAATGATGTAGGCCATATAATGGCACTCTGATCAATAAAGAGTTTGATTTCTGAAGAGGCCGCTCTTTCTATACGCCCAAATTTCACTTTAGCCGGAGTCTGGTTAGGAAATATTGCCCAGTCTATAATATCAAATTCAGCAGCAGGATTTCTGTCCTCATCCAAATAAACACCATCCATGGATATATTGTAAAGATGGAAGTTT